TGAAAACAATTCAAAATCGTGAAAGTAGGATAATACTAATCTAAATGGCTTCGTTTGATAAATGCTAGCAATGAAATAAAGATTAAAAAACAGAACATGAACACGTGAGTGAGGGAAGAAAATATTCGAGAAAAGCTAATAGAAAACCCTGATATGTGGAAAACGCCTTTTCAGATCGGGGTGAAAAAATTATTTACCAAATGCATTTTACCTGGTCAACACAAATGAGATGAAATTGGTCAAACCAGTTAAAAATCTTACGCAACGTGATTGGCAATCCACCAAATTTCAGGAGTCTTTCTTATATATTGGACCATTTGGACCCGTTCGTATACTGTTCCCACAAAAATATGTCTTACCGTTCACGCGCGTGAACAGTAACTTCTTTTTTGTTTTTTCATTGTTCCAGTAGCGGAATAGGTGTAACTCACGTGTAATAAAATATAACTCACGTTAATAAGAAATGTAACAACAATCAAGTCAAAATGTAACTTGTCTAATACGAATTATAAGAAATAAAACATTGATTTTAAAGAAAACAAGGAGTCTAATTGCTCAATTACTTTACTTAAATAGTTTATATGTTTTGTTTTTAATATTAAGGACATATTTTTTTTTATCTTTTTTTTTTCAAAAAATCTTTTTTTGGCCAAAAACTCATTTTGTTTTTGCAAAAAAAGTAATTTTTTATTCAATAGCAGGGGTTAACATAAATGGTGAATATATTTTTTTAATATTAAGTCCATAAAAATGTTTTTAAAAATATTTTTTTTTGCCAAAACGCATATTTTTTTGGAAAACATTTTTTTTTTGCATAACAATGATTCATTTGTTTCAATAGTAGGCTTTATGTTGTGATGTAATTCATATTACAGAAAATGTAACTCGCGTTGAATGAAAATCTAACTTTAGTGTATGCAAAATTTAACTTGTTGAGGCAAACTCAAATGTAACTCGCGTTTAGAAAGATGTAACTCGCGCACAAGAAGATGTAAATCGTGCATAAGAAGATGTAACTCCATATAATATCAAATGTAATTATAGAAATTGTCTATAAACATAACTCACACATACGAAAAATACATTATTCTCACGTTCTTTCAAATTTAAATCGAAATAAACAACCTTAATGACTATAAAACACAAAAAACATATAAAAGAGATAAGAAATATATTATAGGAAAAAGTATATGAATAGAAAAAATATTTTACAAAAAAATGTATAATAAATATAAAAAAAAGTATACAAAGTAAGAAATAGTGTATGAATATGAAATACAATATACTTTTTTATGTGGATTAATAAAATTTTGTATTAAATTGGTAAAGAAAAAAATTAATTCAGTTAAAATATAATTAGTTCAAGATAAAGATAAGTAAAAAATCACAAATAATTAGATATAACCCACACATAATTACATGTAACTCGCGCATAAAAGTATGTAACTCGTGTATAAGAACATGTAACTCACACATAATAAGATGTAACTCATGCATAATAACTTGTAACTGGAGTATAAGATGATGTAACTTCGTATATTATCACATGTAACTCCAAGCTATAAGCAAAATAAACAAACTCAATATCTTAAAAACCTCTAAAAACATATAAAAGCGATAAAAAATATATTATAGAAAAAGTGTATGCATATAAAAATATATTACAAAAAAATGTATGAATGTAAAAAAGATATTACAAAAAACAGTGTATGAATATGAAATGTAATGTACTTATTTTATTTAGATTATTAAACTTTTTGTTATGTATTGATAAATAATTACAAAATAGATTCAATTATAATTTAAATTGAAGATAAGGAAAAGTAAAACTACAATTAAATTTTTAATATTTTAATTTGATGGAAATGGAGAAGAATTAAAGAAAAGAAAAATAAGGAAAGAATAACAAAAGAAAAAGGAAGGAAGAAGCTCCAAAAAAGAAAAAAAAGGAACGTAACTTTGTAAAAGTGGGATCGGCACACCATGCGGAAGGTGGACCGATCCCACGGTATAATTTGCCATATTGGACGGATCAAAATTGTTCAATCCTAACGGGGGATAAAATTGCACCAATTTATAATTTAGTGATTATGTTTCAGTTTTACACCTTAATCATCATGAGGAATGCCTAATAATATAGACACTTCTTCGTCCATAGATTAAATTTTATTTCATTAAATTCAACTAAAGGGAGATCTCAATAAATATATCATTAACTTATAGGAAAATTGACCATATTCATCATAACTTGTAACTAGTAAGTACAACCCACGGATCTTATTGCATATTTATATGAATTTACTTTAGGTTTTAAACCTTTTAGCAACTAATTATGTCTAGCCCGGTACGTCATGCTTTTCAAAATAGCCAAATAATCACACATTACGTTCCATGAAATAAGTGATTGATTGATGAATAAGTTGAAAATTATTGCTGTATTTTGACTACAAAATTGGTAAAACTAAAAGCAAATGCAGATTTTGAAATGTAAAGTCGGTGCAATTTGAGGTTCCTGGGGTGTACATGTGACGATACGAGACAATTATTTTGAAAATTTTGTCACATCCATTCCAAAGTACGATTCTTTTAAAAATCAAAGAACCGATACAATTTTGAATATATATAGAACATGTCCCGTTTCATACCAATTTTCAGTACGGTTCTTCAGTACTATTCGATTCCTAATTTATTAACTCCCACGTAGTTAAAAATATTTTAGGTTTTAACATTTATAAGTAAGTAATTGTAAAAAAATTAAGAGAAGGGAATGTAGGATTCAAAAGTCTACGTCAAACTAACCTTGTGAAATCAAACCTAACTAATATACAAAATTTATAGTCAAACTATAATATAGTCAAAAATTATAGTTCTGGTCTTCTGGAGGATGAAGAGCTGCCGAGGTTGCTGACAAAGTAACTGAACTAGGTTAATTTATATGTTCCGTATTATAGTTATTACCAGTATTATTTAAAAAAAAATTAGCACACTAAATAATTGTATTGAGGGTCCAAAGAGTGTGCATTATACACTCTATACCAAACTTCCAGTAACCATGATTTAGATTATTGGCTATTATAATAAATAATATAATATATACGAAATATAAATTATTTTGTATAACCAATTTTCAAGACGATACACAACGATTCAGGACGGTTCGGTTCAATATGATCTTGGGAGGATTCTGGGATGGTTCTCACTTAAGAACTGGTACCGTGCCATATTATTAAAAAATTCGTGATACGGTATTATATTTTTCCCATTTGTTCGGTTCTGGTACACTTACGATACGCTATGGAATAGGAAATCTTAGATCCCTGCTCAGTCCTAGTTGTAGATTCGGTTCATTGGCTAACTCAAAATAGAATACAATCAAAATAAAATGAGTGAGCTTCATCTGATATAATCTGATCTTAAAATCTTAAATTTAGGTAATTCAATTCAATTCATTTCACTTTGGCTTCAGTTTTCTTTTCTTTTTTAAAAAACTATCAATTGATTAAAAATATGGAGTAACATAATACTGCGTATTTCACACGTAAACTTATAGTCTACCCAAAAGTAACAACGCAATTACACTTTTAATTAGTTACCCAAAAGTAACAAAGCAATTACACTTTTAACTAAACTTTGCTAACTTCTTTAGATTATTTAAAAGTCTAAAAGAAATTGTCATATTCTCTGTACTTAATTCAATCATACATTTCTTATTTTATTATTACAAGTGCAAATCAAAACTTATTACAGGTTAAGTTTTTTGCTGAGCAGTGAAAAACAATTTAAAAGAAAAACTTATTCTCTGTACTCTTTAACAGTTATAAAAGTCAAATCTAATTGAAACCAAATAGCTAGAGGGTTTACCCTTCAGTTTTTACGTTTTGGTTCAATTTTTACTTTTGAGTTTCACCATACCACCACCCCAACTCTTACGTAATTAAAGAGTAACAACCGTACTACTTGTATACTGCCCCGTTCTGTTTTAATCGCAAAATGTTGAATTGTACACTATTCACATACTCTAGTTTGACTACATTTTACGCTATTATTTTATGATTTTTTTTAAATATTGTTCGATTCATCTCATTACAAATTTTCAAAATCTGATTTTTAATAATTTTTTTTACTAATAGAATTAAGATATAATTACGGTCAAAGACGTGCGTTAGCAAATGTGAAATGTTGACCGTTGCAATTAAAAAACAACGGGGGGAGTACATAATTATTTATGAACAGACAATTGATTTTACTTTTAATAAATGGATTTGTTGATGACCCCGAATGTCTGTACACAAACATTTCATTTTGGCTAAAGGGTCAAGTATGCCATTGAACTGACTTAAAGTGTTCAATTAGCCTCTTATATAAGAGGTTCTGCCCGGCCGTCGCTAATTGGGGCGATTCCCGGTGGAATTTTATGATGAAATTTTTTGAACATCTTCTTCATTAAGTCTATTTTACCCATACCAAATTTCAACTAAAAATTCAACCGAGAAGGCAGTCAAATGATTTTCCGAAATGTACTGCGCTGTTTATCTTCGCAGTTATCTTCAAAAAATCATTTGACTGCCTTCCTGGTTGAATTTTTAGCTGAAATTTGGTATGAGTAAACTAGACTTAATGAAGAAGATGCTAAAAAAATTTCATCAAAAAATTCCACCGAGAACCGCCCTAATTGGCGACGGCCTGACAGAACCTTCTATATAAGGGGCTAATGAAACACTTTAAGTCGGTTCAAGAACCTATTTAACCCTTTAGCCTTTCATTTTTAGGGAGTCAAATGTATTTCTCTTTACTAAAATTAAAATCAATCATTTGTACACAATCATTAGACTTGAGCGTGTAAATCAACTTATAATTCAACGTATACAAGTAGCGTTTTTCTAAGAGTAAATGTAACAAAAAATGACTATGTCGTCCTTTTACCAATTCAAAACCCATTTTTTTCTTCTTCTGAGAACTCTACTATTCACTTATTTTGTGTTCCTTTTGGAAATTAACGGCCTAGACATCTAAGCGGAATTACAACGGACCAAAAATAGCGCCAAACCCATGAGTAAAGCCGTGACAATGGCCACCTTTTCCCTCGAGAACTCATCCCGAGCTTTATGATTGCTTCTTCTCCATCTCTTTCTTCCTTGCTTGAGGTCCCCTCCTACTTTTGCGCCGGTTTTATAGACCAGACTTTATATTATTTCACACTCACCCCTTTACCTATCATCCCACTCCACTCCCTCTCATCTCAAGTAACCTTTTTGTTCTCTAAATCTTCACAGTTTGCCATTTCTTGATTTTTTCTTGTGCCCAAGACAGTAGCAGTGGATGATTCAGAGATTTCTCCCTTGGTTTCTTGAATTTCAGCTCCCATGACTTCTTGATCTGTAATTTTATGTGCATATCTTTTTTGTCTCTTAAAGGGTCTTCCTTTTTCCTTTCTACATGGTCTGGAGGTGTTTTCTTTTTCTTCCAATAGATGGTACTGTGTAATGGTTACACCTTAGACTTTGTTATTCTTTCTTTTAATATTTACTCTCTAGGAGTTCTCTCAATCTGAAAATACGGCCAAATGATTTAAAGCTATGTAACTGAGACTTAAAATCTCATAAATTTATATTTGACCTATTTTTACGTTACTTTGCAATGAACTGTCCTTCAAGAGAAGTATATAAATTTAATAACATATGTGCTCATTAATATCCCAGTCCCGGAATAAAAGTGGTCCTAAATATATGTTTATGCAAGCTGTTTTTTCTCTTTTTTCTGCAATGAATTGGGATTACGATCTTCAGGGTCTTGTTTATATGCACATCAATGATCTGTTGTTTCTTACAGGTAATCTGAGCAGCTGCCTTGTAAAGAAGTCTCCTGCCAATTAGTGAGGTATATCTGAACCCTGTTTCTGCTATTTTTAAAATAGATTATGATGCAAATCAGGATCGGATCGGGAGATCATTAAACATTCGAGTTAAATAAGACGGGAAAATTCAATTGAATAGATTAAGTAGCTTAACCCAAGATCTTATAAACTGATCTACTTCTTTAATATTCTGATTTAAAACTTTAACAATTCAATTTATTGTATACATTATCTAAAATAGAAATGTATCCCTTTATAAGACATTTGTTCCATGATATGGGTTGCTTTGTCTCTAAGCATCAACTGTTTTTGTGTCACTTCATGCTCTGATTTAATTATGGTTCCCTTCTGTACTATGGTAAAAGATGATAAACAGAAAAGAAAGTCCTAAATACTATTCAATTCCTCTTTATGGATTCAGTTCCTTTTCCGTGCTCTCTCAAGAAACTAAAACTGTCGCTGGAAATATGATGTTTTTTAGTGTAGTGCTTGATTCTTGTTTAGTATTGATCATAACAAGCACATTATTAAAACTCCTAAAAAGTTAATGTGATAGAAGGAATAGTCAAAGATCTTATGAGTTTTTATTTTTATATTTGGTTAGATGGTTTACAATCATTTATTTGGTTAGCTGCGCTTTGCCTTATATGCTGGTTCAAACTGGTATGGAATTATTGGGTGACTGTGAATGTAGATGGCGAAGGAGTATGGTGGATCCCCAAAGCTTCAACAGCTGGAAACAAGGAGAAAACAGCTGACCTGGATTTTGGGAGTAAGTGGTCTTTGCATTATTTTCTATATTCTTGGAGCTTGGCAGAGTACCACCTCAATCCCTTCTGGTCAATCTGAAGTTTATACGCGTGTTGGGTGTGATAATGCATCATCATCATCTGGAAAAGGAAACACCGAAAATCCAGCAATGCCACAGCAGACAGCTCCCCTTGATTTTGAAAGCCATCACCAGTTAGAGGTGAGCGATGATGCCGAGGAGCATAAAAACATTCCACCTTGTAATATGTCATACAGTGAGTACACCCCTTGCCAGCATCCACCCAGAGGTAGGTTGTTTCCTCGTGAAATGTTGAAGTACAGGGAGAGGCATTGCCCTACAAAGGATGAGCTCCTCGGCTGCCTCATTCCTGCTCCACCAAACTACAAGAAGCCTTTCAAGTGGCCTCAAAGTAGGGACTATGCCTGGTTTGCTAATATCCCCCACAAAGAGCTTAGTGTTGAGAAGGCTGTTCAGAACTGGGTCCAAGTTGAAGGTGACCGCCTCCGGTTTCCAGGTGGTGGCACCATGTTTCCGCGTGGGGCTGATGCTTACATAGATGATATTAGTGAGCTTATTCCCCTTACAAGTGGAGCAATTCGAACCGCTGTTGATACTGGTTGTGGGGTAAGAAAACTCTGCCCCCCTACTCTATTCTTCTTCTTCTCGTGGTCTCGTCTTGTGGCATAGTATAATGTGATACTATATAAGTGACACTTCTTCTAGACTGGGCAGTTTGTTTAGTAATGCTAGTGTGTATTAATATGAATATTTAACATGAGATTCCTATGATGCATACCGAGGAAAAGTTAGATCATCACTCAAAAAATATGACACAAGAATGTCTTCCCAGAATGTCTAAATTGAATTTACCCCTACCATTACTCTTTATTCATAAAGGCATGTATAATGTATTTGCATGACTTGAAATGGAGGTAGTATAACCAAGCATTCCAGCTCAGTTGGTTGCGAGGTTACCGTGCCTAGTGGAGGTCTCGAGTTCGAAACCCGCTAGGCACATAAGGCTTTGAAACTCAATGGAGTGAGTTTCAGCCCTGATTACTCCAGCCCCCAGCCCCCCTCCCCCAGACCCCCCCTGGAGTAAAAAAAGAAGAAGTATTTGCATGACTTGAATCAAAGGTCTAATTAAAAGGACATTACCTGATTATCTTATATGTTCGTTTGTTGCGTTATATTTAGCCGATATGGGGTAAACTCTTCAACAACTTCATTTTTAACCACTAGCTTGCTGTCCATTCAACTCATTTTTATTGCATATGGAATTTGAATACTGTAAGGTTGCAAGTTGGGGTGCTTATCTGTTGAAGCGAGACATAGTGGCGATGTCATTTGCTCCAAGAGATACACATGAAGCGCAGGTATGGTTTGCACTGGAGAGAGGAGTTCCAGCTATGATTGGCATCATGGGTTCTCAAAGACTTCCATATCCTGCAAGAGCTTTTGATATGGCTCACTGCTCACGCTGCTTGATACCTTGGGCCGCGAGTGGTAAGTGTAATAAAGAGATAGAATAAGATCATCCAATTATTATAAGATAGGATATTATTTGCACATTCTCAATCTCAGTTGGAGTGCTTAACTTTTGTGGTGGTTACAGATGGGCTGTATTTAACTGAAGTTGACAGAGTGCTTAGGCCCGGAGGGTACTGGATACTTTCGGGCCCTCCTATCAATTGGAAGCAATACTGGAGAGGATGGGAGAGGACCAAAGAAGATTTGAAGCAAGAGCAAGACTCCATTGAGGATGTCGCCAGACGACTGTGCTGGAAAAAGGTCATTGAAAAGGGTGATCTTTCTGTCTGGCAAAAGCCCATTAACCACCATGCCTGTTCCCGGAGAAGATCCATGTCCACTACACTGTCCATTTGCAAGTCAAATGATGCTGATGCAGCTTGGTATGTTCTCAACTATCTTTCTGCCAGTCATTTATGGTTACAGGGGCTAAGCCGAGACCATTAAGACTTGGAATTTTGTCCTGAAATTAACAGATGGAAAATAATGCCCTATTTGAGTATTAGTTAATCGAGTTACTCATTTGAGCGTACTAGGTTTTGTTACTATAATAAAACTTGGACATTCATCCTAAAAGACAACTTTGTAATAGTAGTATGATATGTTGAGTTTGTAACTTCATATTTGGCCGGTAGAGAATGTCTTAAGAAGGACTAAGGGCGTTAGATGGGACCTAATTGGGAGAAGTGCCTAAATGGGGATTGATTGGGTTTAGGCAGGAACTTTTACATTTATGTATACAATTGACAATATATTGATCGTTTACCTCTGAAGCTCATGAAGTGTCTTTTCTTGACAAAGGTACAAAGATATGGAATCATGTATAACACCACTGCCCGAGGTAAGCAACGTGAATGAGGTGGCAGGGGGTGCATTAGAGAACTGGCCAGAGCGTGCATTTGCTGTCCCACCCAGGATTAGCAGTGGCTCATTACAGGGGATCACAGCTGACACATTCAAAGAGGATAATGAAGTGTGGAAGCAAAGGGTTGCATATTATAAGAATATTGCGAGTCCCTTGCACCAAGGGCAGTACCGGAACGTAATGGACATGAATGCTAATTTGGGTGGGTTTGCAGCTGCATTGTTGAAGTATCCGGTGTGGGTAATGAATGTGGTCCCAGCTAACATACAACCAGACACCTTGGGCGTAATCTATGAACGAGGCTTCATTGGAACATACCAAGATTGGTGCGAAGCATTCTCTACCTATCCACGAACGTATGATCTCATCCACGCAGGCCAAGTCTTCAGCTTATATAAAGACAGGTAACCATGAGTAATACTGCATTCACTTCAGGGATGCAAATACCATTTTATTTAAAGTTATGTATAATGTACTACGTATTAAGATAGTCCAACATCGGATATTACGGGATTCTTAAGAATTCTTACAGTTATGATAAAATAAGGATATCACATCCCAAATGCCATCATGGTGCTGAACCTTAATGAGAACATATCACTTTTTTGTAACCGTTGCTCTTGCGGTTTTCCTAGTTTTCTTTCTCTTCCTAACTTCACATTCTTCAATTTTGTGGATGAAGGTGTGACATTGTCAATATCCTCCTCGAGATGGACAGGATCCTAAGGCCAGAAGGTACTGTCATATTCAGAGATGCAGTTGAAGTTTTGGTGAAGATCAAAGGTGTAACAGATAGAATGAGATGGGAAAGTCGGATTGTAGATCATGAAACCGGACCATTTAACCCGGAGAAGATTCTTGTGTCTGTGAAAAGTTACTGGACGGGAAACACTTAAATAAGAGGGATAGCCAAGCTGGTCTATGATTATCATTTCTGTTAAGGCTGTTTTGTCCCCCTTAGCTTATACATTTATAGGACATATCTAATACCTTCAACATGTTTTTTCATAAGTAATAACAAAACACTCTTTTACTTGTATAGGAAGAAGGTACATAGATTGTAGAGTAGTACTGGGACATGGAATCAAGACCCCCCCCCCCCCCCCCCCCCCCAACTTTCTATTGATATACTTATTCTTCAATTATATCTTGAAAGGGTGATGGCTGCAGAGCCAAGTGTCTTCATTAAATCAATAAAAATTGCTCTAAATAGGAGCAAAAACGTTTTGAAATTCCAAAATAGGAGTATCATGTTTTTTATTCTCTGGATAGGAGTAATCTGTCAAGTTTGAAAAAAAATGTCATCTTTAAAGCCTAGTAATGCCAAACTTGGCAGAAATTTACTCCTATCAAGGAATAAAAAACATTATAGTCCTATTTTGGAATTTCAACCCTTTTTTACTCATATTTAGGGAATTCTCTCCCTACCAGGTTCATAAGGTAGATTCTATGGTACCCATAAGGTACCGTACCTTTGTCCACATGGACCAATGAGAATGTAGCAGTTTAATTATTTAAATCTAAATTAAAAATGATAAAGTGGTGTGCTCCAATCAAAAGAATGGTAGGTACGGTACCCCCATTTTTTAGAAAGGTACCGGAGTTGTCACCCTTAAACTTTAGGGTGATAGGGTGAAGATCTTTATTGTGCAACTCTCAATATGGTGAGTCAGCACGAAATGATGTAGCCGTTGGGGTGGACATGCATGGCCTGGTTCGAAATGGAGTCTCCCAATCTTGAAAATTGGGATCTTTATTTGAAATTGGCGTGGGTTACTTTTTAAACTGTCATTTTCAAACAAGGTTCATGGTTAGGTTTCTAGTAATCCGAAATTGGCATTTGAGTATTTTAACTTTTCCATTTAAGCCAAGCTTAATCACAAATATATTTTACAAATTTTTTGAGTACCATTATTTGAAATAAATGTTACGTACTTAGTACTCTCTACCTAGGAAGCACGGAAACGCCGGGCAGGGGATGTTTCCATCCTGGAAACATTTCGGAAACGCGAAACGCCTGGAAACGGCCGGAAACTCCAAGGAAACGCCCGGAAACGTTTCTGAGAGGTTGGGCTGTTGGGCCGGTTTAGGAAACGTTTCGGAAACGTGATTGAGCTTGGGCCAACGCGTTTCCGCAGAAAGTAAAAAAAAAAACGGGCTTCAATCGACAATCGCTTACCTCGGCACGCGCGAAGACCTGACGACTGCGTCGAAGAAGGGTTATCTGCATATGCGAAAGGGAAGAGCGGAAGACTGCGAACGAGAGTCAGGGAGTGCTGTGTGCTGCTGTGCTGCGCCGCCACTGGTTAGCTATTCACAGGACCGGACAGGACGGAAGAACGGAAGAAGAAAAGGGTTTGGTACTTTGGCTCTCTTCAATTTCAATTGCTTCCCAGTTCTAGACTTCTACTCTTCTAGTAAGTACCGACCCTTTATTTGGAGGAGACGAGTTCGGCAATTTGGAAGAAATGGGCTATTTGGAGTTTGCTAATTTATCCTTAGATGAGCCGGAATTGGAGAGAGTGTTTATCACTGAATGAAACATTTACGTAGTGCTTTTTAAATTTTATTTATTATGCTTGTAGAATGGATTATAACAAGGATATATGTTTTGTTTAATTATTTTCTGGGTTGTTAGACATATGCATTACTTATATTACTAAAAAAATTAATTTCTAGTTTGACGTTTCCTTGCCGTACCCGTTTCCAAATATTTTGAGTTTAGCGTTTCCCCGTCCCCGTTTCCGTCCCCGTGTCCGTTTCCGTTTCCGTCCCGGTGCTAATTAGCTCTCTACGTATCACAATAAGTGTCTCATTTTCATTTTTTGAGCGTACCAAAATAAGTGTCTCACTTTCATTTTGGGAAATAAATTCACCCTAAAAACAGTTACAGTACACTTTAATAAAGTAAATTGTATGCAAGTACAAAAAATTTCATATTTTTTCAAAAAATGTACAGTAAACATTTAAATTATCTAAAACAACGTGAAAAGCCTAACGGAAAACTTATTTTAATACGGAGGGAGTATATTTTACAAACTTATAAAATAGGAAAACACATCATGTATATGATTGGTCACATACAATATACTTATATATAAAGTACGTATCATTTAAAATTTGGAGATGAGTATACTTAATTAATCAAGGAGTCAAGGACTATAAGTCGTATAAGAAAAAGTCATAACAATTTGAATTCTTAAACGTGTTGTTCTGCACTTTTCTTTTGATGTTTATAGACAATTAATATAATCGAATGTTGTTTAGAACTCACAAATGCTTTCCATCTTTCCCAAAGCGTTTTTGCAAAAAAGCTTGCATGCATGATTCAATTCGATCTCTGTCTCCAGATTTTTCAAACCACATGTAACATACGGACATATATCTTGGATTGCACATACACGGGTCGGTACATTAACTATTGGTAATGTTTCAATTTGGTACCTTGACTCTTTAATGAATCAAAACGGTACCTTAACTATACATAAATGTTTCAATTTGAGATTTTATTCAAATTTTCGATCAAAAAATCATTCATATCATTCAAAATTCCATGTGTAGAGTCACCCTATATATGGTGATCATATGGACAAAACTAAGGTGAGGTAGACTTTACACAGAATTCAGGCCGCCACGTGTGCTTTTTTGGTCAAAAATTTGAATAAAATCTCAATCTGAAACATTTATGTATATATAATTAAGGTACTGTTTTGATTCATTTAAGAGTTAAATACCAAAATGCAACATTACCATTTATGCATTTGACCCGCACATACACATGTAAAATCCATGTTATTAGTATCACTTTGTTGTCAATATTATAAAATCACTAATAAACAATATTAAAACTCATAGAAGATAAAAATAAAGTATTGTAAAAAATCCCAAGATATGCTTAGTATAGGCGCCAGCCAAGGCGGGAATTAGACGCTAGGCGGCTAACCACCACCTAACCAGCGCCTAGCCACCGCCCAACCAGCACCTTGTAGTACATTGAGCATAGCTATTTGCAATTATGCATGCTTATAACAAAAAAATAGTGTTAGTGAACAACCTAAGCTAGCAGTTTAAATAGATGTTTTGTGCTTTTGAAACATCTATCTCGTACAAACGAAACATCGTAATCAGCCCAAAATCGAAACAACATAACGTTGAATAGCTAACTTTCTTGACACACGAAAGAGAGTCTAACTGTCTATATGTACAAATTACCCTGACACTTCCTCAAAATTAAGCTTAATTACTACGGAGTACTACGTATGTGTATGTTAAGAAACATGGGTCAATATATATATTTGTTCTTTTATGAGACCAGTCAACCATTAAACGTGGAATATACTATGCAAACAAATCATATGATCGAAGGTGTTGACCCATTAAAGATCATACCCATGATTCGTTCCACTTTTTGGGAAACCTAGCTACAATGATTACACTGTAAATACTGGTTAAGGATACTCAAAGTGGCAATAGGCTCAGGATGCATGTTTGTGGACCCCACCCAGTAAGACTACTTGCTATACATCACTTGCATGTCTTGTATGTATGCATAATGCGAAGTACTTTATTACCCTTTGCGCCCTGCGCTTGTTTGTTACGCGTCAACAGCAAAACCCTGAACTCAGAAAGCTAAGCTAGCTACCAAACATATGCAATTCCAGTCAGTTCAAGAACAGCCCTTTTAAGGTATTTCACTTTTAAGGGTTTCTTGATTTGAGGGCTCCTTGATTTCCCTTGTTTGATTTCAATGTTCACAGTCTGTAAGTAGAGTTTCTTGAACTTCCTGGTTTGAGAGCTAAGATTTCCAGTCAGTTCAAGAACAGCCCTTTTAAGGTATTTCAATTCTTTTAACTTTTAAGGGTTTCTTGATTTAAGGGTGTCTTGATTTCCCTTGTTTGATTTCAATACTCAGTCTGTAAGTAGAGTTTCAATTCTTGAACTCCTGGTTTGAGAGTTAGAATTTCCAGAGAGTTCAAGAACAGCCCTTTTAAGGTATTTCAATTCTTGTAACTTTTAAGGGTTTCTTGATTTCCCTTGTTTGATTTCAATGATCTCATCCAGTCAGTAGTTAAGAAGGGTTTCTTGAACCTTCTTGTTTGAACTTTAAAAGCTAGCTGAGTAAAGAGAAATGGGGAGAGGAAAGGTGGAGATGAAGAAGATTGAGAACAGCACAAGCAGGCAGGTGAGTTTCTCCAAGAGAAAAGGTGGACTCATCAAGAAAGCCCATCAGCTCTCTGTGCTCTGTGATGCCCAAATTGCCCTCATCATCTTCTCGCCCAAAGGGAAACCCTACCACTACTGCTCTCCATCACTAAGGTATATATACTCCCCAGTGGAAAAGGTTTGACCATCTTGAGTGTCTTTGACTGGACTGGCCTGGCTCAACAATTTTATAATTTCCCAGTGGGTTTTGTTTAATTACTTTAATGAGCAGTTAAGTATGCATGCATGATCTTTTTGTCTTTCTTAATTATGAGTAGTTAAGTATGCTAATTAAGTCATGTCTTTTGTCTTTAATGAGTAGTTAAGTATGCTAATTAATTAAGTCATGTCTTTTTTTTACAAAAGACAGTTTTGAGATTTTTTTGTGTGTCATTATATTAGGCATTTAGGCGTACGTCGTTTTTTAGATATCTTCAAAACAGCACAATGAAGACAGTAGCCTGAAAGGTTAGAGAAATAACGCAATTTGCCGCCAAATTTTTAGTGTATTTTTTCTCAATTTTTATATTTAACTCACTTAATTTGTTAATATTTAAGGTTAATATAGGGTGAAATGCATAAATGGTACCATAACTATTGATAATGTTGCATTTTGGTTAACTAACTCTAAAATTTTCCCAACTCTACTTAACTCTACTTAATGTAATTGCTAAAAAATTACACTAAAAAATAACTCTACTTAATAAAAAGTTAAGGTACCAAAACGCAATAGATTCATTTAAGAGTTTTGGTACCATAACTCTACTTGGCGTTTTGGTACCATAACTCTACTTAATAAAAAATACACTAAAAAATACACTAAAAATTGAGTTACCAATAGATTCATTTAATAGTTAATACCAAAACGCAACATTATCAATAGTTAAGACATCACTTATGCATTTGACCCCTGGTTAATATAATTACTTTTTAGCTTAGTCTAACCTAAATTCTTGAATGCTCATGGCGATAACTCTAAAATTTTCCGATTCAATAATCAATAGACCTTAATGGAACATAATTATTTACTGACAGTCACCAATAATTAAATTAAAATGTAATTGCTGGTTTAATATATTTTCATATTACCTGAATAATTGTGCAGTATGGAGGAGATGATTGAGAGATATCTGTATGCCACTGGTGCGTCGTCTTTGCCACAGAATCACGAAGTTAGCAAGGCACGTACGTACTTACCGTACGTATTATATTATTTCTATTTTTAGTTAATTAGTTTACTCATATTTATTTACTGCGCGTAATTAATTTACTCTTTATTACGTATACGTCCATACGTGAATACGAGTACGGCGATACGACAACTTCAAAACTTATAGGATATGAGTACGGGGATATATTTATAAATAATAATAATATAGGGTGTAATTTGCAAATATATATAATTCAGATGTTCATAAATAAATAAATAATAACAGTACCAAAAATTAACAATTATAATAAAATTTCAAAGATTAGACTAAAAAAACTAAAGTACTAATATTTCGATTTAAATTCAAATAATATTGTTGGTTCTCTATTTGCATTTACATCTAAATCTTTTAACAAGACTGATTTCAATTAATGCTCATCAAACGACAAATTGGCAAATTACAACATTCCAATGTTTTTTATACTCTCGAAATCATCTTTACTAATATTCCACATCTTGTGGTTGCTTTGGTGGCTACTAAATTTTTGTCATGTCATGCATGAAATCAGGGTTATATGGTTAGATAAGCGTATCGGTTCACGGATACAGGCATCAAAGAAGTATCCATATTTTTAAAAATAAGTCCAATACTTTTATTAAATTACGGATACAGACCCAATACGTGCAGGACGCGTATCGGTGAGTATCGGTATCGAATACCTATCGGATACGCGGATAAGACATGTATGTGGTTGTAGTATCGATGCATCATTAGATTGCATTTGTGACTTACTCCCTCCGTCTCAAATTGTTTTGCAAAGTCAACAATTTTTGGTCAACCAATAATAAAAGTCAATCCTTACTATCGATAATTAATTCAGTTTTTAATAATTAAAACTTACATATTCAGAAACTACATTAAAAGTTCTTCAAAGTTGTAATCTCCAAATTAGAATATAATTAGAAATTGATAACCTAATTAAGCAAATAAAACGAAATTGTTTGACTATGAAAAGTCAAATTTATAAATCAATTTGGAACGGAGGTAGTATTAGGAGTACGTAGTTAGACTACAACAGTACAAAGAGTACTAGTGGTGACTTATTTCCGGCATTTGTGAATACAAATACGGAGCATGCAATAGTGTACAAAAAATCAAAAATACAAGTATGAAACGGAAATTAGAAAGACACTCGTACTACGTAAGAAACTTTGGGAAATACGAATATACGATGAAGAGGTAAACATGATCAGGATGTTTTAATTTATTTTAAGTGATTTTTTTGTTGTGATCTAGTTTGACCCATTTAAATCCATTTTGGCCTTGATAAAAGTGTCGTATTAGCAGAGAGGGTAAATAGACATAGATTGGCTTGCTTTATTCATGCGGTATACATATTGAAGTTATTACTACTCCTATATTTGTACCTATAAAATATTCAAATGTACAATATTCCCCAATACCCCCTCAAGTTTGAGCTTGAGGGTCCAAGACACCTAACTTTGACAATAAATAAGAGAATTGTTGAGCTCTTGGTAAAGATGTTCACTAGTTTTTTAGTGGATGTATTATACTGAGTGGAAATAGTGTCGGCTTGAATATGATTCCGAATAAAGTGACAATTAATATCAATATGCTTAGTGCGTATGTTGAACACATGATTGGAAGTGATATGGAGGGCACCATAGTAATGAAATAGCCAGTGACGGATCATGGAGTAAGAGGACTAGCTCAGTCTGAATCACAATATATGGATAAGAGGACAAGAGATTTATCATTAACTTTACTACTTAATTAGCGCAACCTTGTTACAAGTCGGGATATCAAGAGGAAATAGTTTATTTCGAGTCATTGCAGCTCTTGTAATAATGGCATTTGTTCTATTATCAGTGATCTCACATGCACATTTATCATAGACCACTTTGTAACCCTTTTGCACTAGCTGCCCAACTCTTAGAAGATTGTAAGCAAGATGTGGTACATAGAGAACGTCAGTGATGCTCTTTTGTTTTCCATATGTTGATACTACAGAAATGGTTCCTTTGCCATCAACTTTTTCAGATTTTCCATCTCCAAGAGTTACTTGAGTTGAAATGCTTGTATCAAGCTTAGTAATTAAAGATGTCTTCCTCTCCCATCATGTGATTGCTACATCCACTGTCTAGAAACCACCTCTTGCTTGACTTTTCTTCGACATTCAAGCAATTGTAGAACACTTGAATTGATCTCCTTCTCCTTCTTGTAAGAAGTTTGCTTCGGTTTTATCCTTCGGTTGATGCCAACGTAACATTCTCGCTAAGAATGATTTGGAGTTCTGCATTTTTTGCACCTATACCGACACTCAGATGACTCATGACCGAGCTTTTTGCATATGAAGCAAAATGAGCTACTTCCTTGTCTTTGCTATGAGTTTCCTCTCATCCCTCTACCTCTGTTGTGCGAGAAAGCATTATTCTCATGATTGCTTCTTCCTAGCTGCCTTTTCTTTAATTTTGAAATTCGCCTCCTTTCTTCATATGAAAATTTTCTTTAGAGAGATTAGCTTGGGATTGAAATGCCAACTTCAGAGGCTGACTTGTTGACCTCTGTGTTCTTTCTTCATGAGCTTCAAGTAAACCCATCAAATCAAACATTGAGAGCTTTGATAGGTCTTTCGATTCTTCAATGACAGCAACTATGTGATCGAACTTAGAGGGTAAACTTAGAATTTTCTCAAAGATTCTGTTCTCTTGGATGTGGTCTCCATAACTTTTAATCTGATTTACTATATCTATTGCTCTTTAGAAATAATCTATTCATCCTCCTTCATTCATAAATTATCAAAAAAATCCAAGTTGTGTGAAGTTTGATGGATATTACCTTCTCATTCCCTTAAAACTCTTGCCGGAGAATCTTCCATGCCTCTTTAGCTTTGGAAATGCCATAAATTCATGGATAAATGGTTCTTCACAATTTCTCTATATTTAGCTTGTTTTTCAGTTGTCCAAGTTTCCCTATTCGCAGGTGGGTCTTCATATCCATGTTCAACTAATTTCTATAGGCCTTCAGATATGAAGAAAAACTTCATTTGGATATGCCAATAATCATAATGCGTTCCTTCAGAGATAGGTATTTGGTTTGGTGAATAGGCAAAGATAGTTCCAAGAGTTGAGGAAGCCATACCAACCTGGCTCTGATACCAAAATTGTTAGATATTTTGGTAGACAAAATAAATTTCTGAAAAAAACTTTATATTTGAGATGCTCTCTTTAGCGCGCATACATCAAATTTTCGATAAACAACCTTTTATAGGTTATATGGAAAGATCTAGAGACTCTCCTAGAAATTAGTAGATCAAAAGACACCTAATAAATCCTAAGATGATTAAATGTATGTAAATACAACTAGACACGGTATTTCTTCAGAATACTCTGGAATTTCTAGCATTTTCCAGAACAGATTACATGCTTAAAATTTTAAATTATCTCACAACCAATAGGATCATCATAACCAAGCAATGGATGTTTGACTATTTCGGAAGGAGACTCATATCTTGATAGGATGGCGTGGAAGATCTCGGGCAGCAAAAGCAATTGCGTCAACTCTATCTTTTCTAGCGCGGGTCATGTTTTGGTGGCGCTCCTCTTGGACAACCATTTGATATACACTAGAAAGACCCGACAGTTGTGTACGACTCAGAATGTTGGATCGTAAAACTCCATACACTAGTAGAAAAATGGTCTATAGTGACACTAAATTAGTTTCACTAAAAGTTTTAGTGACACCAAGAAAGTGTCAACGAATGGTTGGAACTCTGACACTAAAAAACGTGTCACTAAAAAGTGTCAGTAAATTGTGACACGTTAGTATCATAAAATATAGTGATACATTTGCATTGGTATACTTAACGACACTTTGATATCATATAAATTAGTGATATCACTAATGTTACAAAAACCTATGATACTCTTGCGCCATCCAGATTTATGATACTATAGTATCAACTATTGAACAATTTTAATACTTTTTTTGCACCACCATACCCACCTAAAAGTTTAATTTTCAAGCTTGTAGACAAATATAAAACAAATTCATAATCAAAGTATCCCATAACTAACTAATTGTCATTTAGATTCAAATCAAAGTCAAAATGAAAATTCAAAGACAAGTTAACTTGTTCTTGGAAACAACGCAAAATCCAAAATACCAATATTCTTGAATTCTAGTCTAGCTACATAGGGCTGTAAACATAAAGTAGTCATTACATAGGTTCTGGAAACACATAAAGTACATCACAAACATCCAAATGTTATGTTCTTCCAGCCATTTGTTTAACCGCCATAATGCATATGAGCTTAGTAAAAATCCAGCTAGCACTGTTCATCACATTCGTCACTGAAGTCTGTAAAAATAATAACGATAACTATTTCAATCATCATACTACAGACAATCCTAATTAGTGAAAACAACATTCTTAACACACTTATCTCAATAAATAAAATTTCAGCTTACTCATTGAGTAGGTTTGCTGCATATGAGACTCATTTCTCACGTATTTGCAGAATATCATCTTCAGAGTACTCACTGACCGTGGAACACTAAAGCAACACCAAAATAAAAACTTAACATTGGTTTTACAAAACTTATCATCACCGCTATTTTATTTTCATTTAAAGAAGGTAGAGTCCAGCTTATTGCTTCTTTACTTGTGTTAGTCACACCAAGTAAAATTGTGTAGTCTAAATTGACCATAACTCTTGAGATTTAATAGCTGTAATATGAAAAAAAATGTAGTCAATGTATATGTTATCTTAAAAGAGCATTAACAAAAAATATTAAGAAAACATCCAATCAAGGGAATCCCTTACCCTCTTTAAGACTGCTCCTTTAAGATTTTTCAACTGTCCATGGAGAAATAAGTTCCCCGTTGTTGTTAATAATTCCCAACGCGGTCAGCAGTTCAGCTGGGTCGCCTGAGCTTGTAGGCGGGCTTCCGGGTAGACCCAGGCGGAAAACACCTTGTCAGGCAGACAACGGGTCGCGTTCAATGAGGTGAGTGGTGGCCTCTGTCCCTCTGCGTCCCTAGTTCTACGGTAGTGTTGGTAACTAGATGGCTGCGCCAGGATACAGATAAGGTAGGGTTAGAACATTTGGGCAAAATTTAGGCGGAGAAATATTACTCCGTACTCTGTTGGAGTAAAGATATCAAAAATTTGGTATCCTAGGGTTGGAGTAAAATTTGGGCGAAAGGTAGGGTTTCAAGATGAAGCAATGAAGTGGATAGCCTAGGGTTGGAGAAAAATTTGGGCGAAATTTTAAAAGAGAACGGGAAATAGGATATCAAAAATTTCATTTTACGTCACTGTATTTATTGATACTTTTGTGTCATGAAATAGCGACACATATTTGTTAGAAATCTCATATGTCGTCCTTTTGTGACACTATTAGGAAAAGTGTCATTAAAAAAGTGTCACTGTAAGCCGGTTTTCTAGTAGTGATATGTCTGTCCACCAAGAACAAGAACGAACTCATGAGTTTTTTCTTTTTCAATTTCTCGGAGAAACTTCTGCTCGAGGTTGCATTTGCATCCCCACACATGCATTTCAGTACATTCATGTATTCATCAAACTCATCCAAATCCCCTTCAGTCGATCATAATAATAAGTTACACTTTCTCCATTTTGTCTCCATCCACGAATAGCCTCCTGATCTCTCCTTTTAACGTTACCCCACAAATATTAAGTCTAGGGAAATATGAAGGATGGAGATAGTATGGCGATGAGAGATCTGTAATTTTCATGTGTGTTGGTTCAGTCATGGTAACAACTAAATGTTTATTATCATTATTCTTCAAGTATCACGATTGGTAAAAAAGATGGTCAAAGATAAAAAAAATTAAGAGGCAAAGGAACAATTTCATGCATGCAAAAAAATAAAGAAGACAAAGCAGGTCATTTAAATCCCTGCTCTGATACCATGATAAAAGAGAGCTTGAATAATCTGGCTTACTCTTGTTCGTAAAGTATACGGTATACAAGGATTATATGCACCAATAAGGAGAGAATCTTATCTGCCCAATGTACATACAAATAAAGAAAAGAAAGTAAATCTGAATGGATAGAAAATAGGGTTCCGTATTGTAGCTAGTACTACTCATATATTTCTACATATAAAATATACAAATGTACAATATTCCCAAATAGGTATGATCTAGTTAGGGTCGTATGTATTATGTGTATATTACTATAATTTAAGGCTGATCTTATTAGGTTTAAATATGATGTGGTTTGATATGATCTTTATCTGACACTGAAACGGTTTGATGTTTGTAGTTATTACAAATAGTTGATCAATTATACACTAATAGGGAGTGAAAATATATAGTTCGAATGACCGATTTAATAAGTATTGTAGATAATTAGGAGATATTATAATACTCCGTATTTAATTAAGATGATAGATATCATTATATTTGTCATATAGATTTTTCCCCATTTGCGTATTTCTGCAACTACCACATGCAATGGTTATTTTAATGTACTTGTATCAATTAAAAAAATAAATCTAGTACTCCTATATGATATTAATAAATAGTTTACATAAATGCCGCCTATGATATTAATCTCCACATATATATATAAAGCATATAATATTTTATGGTTAAAAAGTATTATGTTAAATGATATTTATAGGATGAGATAAGTGCAATGAGGGAGAAAACTCTTGATCTTCAATTGAGCCTTGAGAGATACAAAGGAGAGAGTTTGAACTCCATACAATACAAGGATCTCGACGAGATGGAGAAAAAACTTGAGATCTCATATAGAAAAGTTCGAGCAAGAAAGGTAAACATACATACATATTGTCTTATTAAATAGTACACTAGTTTTTAAACTTCATGTTTATATACTTTGATTACGTTTTATGTATTAATGTATTCATAAATTATTGGATTATTAGCTAAATATATCCCCAACTATCACCAAATTCACAAATGTATCACATAATTTCACTTTTATTAAAAAAGACTTAAACTTGAACTTTCCTCACAATTACACTTTAATTTCAATAGATTAATTAGGAAAACTTTTGAAGAAAGTCATATTTATATTTCAATTTTTTTCATTTCTTTCTAGTTTTAAGTTTACAAAATTATATTGCTTATATCTTATTGGTATTGATAAAAATGTGTGATTTTGAAATAACAATAAAGAAAAGCATAATTGTTGAAAAATATGAAGTTTGGGTCTTTTTTGACAAAAGTGAAAGAATCGGATAAAATTATGAATTTGATGATAGTTTGGGATAAAATAAGCTAATAATCCTAAATTATTTTAAAAATATATGTTAAAATTTGGCTAATCATAAATCTTTAAAATTTGTGCTTTATAATTTTTTTTACTAATAGGAATTAAATATACTAATAATCAAAATTGTGCATCAACAAATGTGAAAAGATGATTATTAATTACATTTATTTAAGAATGGATGTACGTAGTATTGTTGGATATAAGTTATTTATGACTTGAGTGATAGGTTGATTGGGTGCGACCAAGTTGTTAATGAATGGTTATACACTTAACTCATTTTGTTAACATAATATGGATAATAATCTACCATCAATTATAGAATGTGCACAGCTGCAACGAGGCCTTTTTGTAAATTACTACGTATATGTCTATATTTGGACACTTGATGCATGTCACATGCACGAATATCAATTAAGTCATTATGAAAGTTATTGAAAATTAGAAATCATTAATCATGAAATGATTTTTAGAGTGCATGCATTTAAAAGTTCATAAAAAAGAGATCATTTAAATGATGGAAACACTTCCAACATTATCATAAAAGAGATACCTACTCTCATACATGCATTTTATGAAATATACGAAAACCCATCGTTATATTATACACGACGTCAAGATCGAAAGTCAAGCCTTTGTAACCTAGACGTGAAAAGATATTTTAATATTTTATTAATGATTATTTCTAATATATATATATATATATATATACCTAGACGTCAAGATCGAGTCTCATACGTTAAGATTTTATTTATGAAAACAAAGTGCTTTTAAATGCATTGACCACACAAGGCAAACATGAGCACATAAGCTCCCAAAGCATTTATAGTTTAAAATAGTTTCCATGAACATCATTTTATTTATGTCAAAATAGAACTGGATGAAACACAAACTACGTCTTCTCTCCACAGATCACCCAAAAGAAACGGGAATGAATAGGAAGAAAGCTTTAGCTTCTACATGAAACTGTGAAGTGGCCTTCCCCATATGGGAGGTCAATACTTTGAAGAATTTGAAAAATACAATGACAAATATAATGTATATAATCAATGCTTCAAGCACTAGACCCTCAACATAGGGTGATAATAGACTATGGGCATAACCTATAGCTACTCCATTTCAAGTCAAATAGTTGACCCATAGGTACATTTGTACTTAAGACGATCCCCATCAACAACCCATCAGCCCGACTTGCATACCATATTCATCGGGAGGATTACCACGCACCCTAGTATAGACCTGATTCCATTGAGAGAGTTACACATATTCTAGAGGTTACACACCTCACGTGTCAAGTACGAATATCATCTAGAGGTTACACACCTCACGTGTCCTACGCGTATATTGTCTTAATGTTACACAACCTCGCGTGTCATACACGAATATCATCTAGAGGTTACACACCTCACATATCATATAAGAATACCATCTAGAGGTTACACACCTCGTGTATCATGTACATATATCATCTAGAAGTTACACACCTCACATGTCATATAAGAATATCATCTATAGGTTACACATCTCACGTATCATATATGAATATCATCTAGAGGTTACACACCTCACGTGTCATAACCAAATGTGATCTAGAGGTCACACACCTCGCTTATCCTACACGGATATCATTTAGAGGTTACACACATCGCCTACCATAACATCATCTATATCCTGATAAGACTATAGAATTGATCAATTACTACAGTAAAACATACCAGCACATATTCATTTCAAGTAAGCTCGGGCAAGTCTTTATCAAGACTACCCGAGCTATACACATATCAACCAAGGTATCTTCGTCATTTCGTTTGAGCATGATCACAACCCATGACTCATTTAAAATACATGCCTATCTTATTTAATATCTTAATTCACAAGTAATTCCAATGATTTTTTAATGAAAAGGACGATTTTATTCATAAAATGAAAAGTACAATGCAAGAAGATAAATAAAATAAAAAAGTACAAAAAAGAGAGAAGAAAATATAAAGACAAAAACTAGACCCAAGCGAAATCTCTAGATTGAGATCTAGTCCTCATGCTATGCCGCCTTTTGTTTTTTGAGATTTCCTATAGAGTTTGAGTTGTGTGTTCAAGTTATCTGTTGGCAGGCAATTTTCTTTGGTGACCAATGTAGATTTTCGGCAAATCGTTCTATTGGATTTGGATTTTCTAATTTCTTCCTGGTTTGAAATAGGAAGACGACGATCACTTTCTGTAGCATGTCCTAGAAAATCATCAGAGAAGAAAGAGTCATCAGAAGGATCATAGCTGTCCGAGACGTCAGAGTAAGCCCGTATAAGTGGAATTTCGGGTTGTATTTCAAAAGAGAGGGGCTCTTGCTTCCCACCATAGACTCTTTGAACTTCATAGTTAAATATGAGTTTGGAGATGGAGATTTGCTCAGTGTCTTTCGAATTCTCATGCTCCCAATACACAGGTCCATCCTTCTCAAAATGAGATAATCCAATGAAATTAGAATAATCCGCTAGTTGAATCACTACACTGGTTTGATGTAATGGGCCAAGTTGTAGAGATTTATAAACAGAATAGGGGATGACATTTATTGATGCCCCTAAATCCAACAAGGCCTTGGGAAATGTGGTGTCTCCTATTTTGCAAGGGATAGTGAACATGCCTGGGTCGTTACATTTTTCGGGGAGTTTTCTCTGAAAAATGGCCGAGACGCGTTCACTAACTCTAACCTCTTGTTTCCCCTTCAATTTATCTTTTCTTTTTGTTTTGCATAATTATTTTAAAAATTTAGCAAAACGAGGGACATTTTTCATTAAGTTAAGAAGCGGAATGTTTACCTCACACTTTGCGAAGGTTTCATAGATGTCGGCATCTTTCTCTAGCTTCTTTGTCTCCCTCAGCGCCTCAGGAAACGGGATTACTTGTTCATATGATGAGGGTGGGGGAAGCTTGGTTTCTGTGATCTCCTCCTCTGGTGGGACTACTTTTTCAGGGTCCACACCCTCAATCTCTTTATCGTTCTCTTCTACCTCTTTCAACGTCGCCCCACTTCTCAACATGATAGCATTCACATGTTGTCTCGGGTTTTGCTCCGTTTGAGATGGGAGTTTACCCGAGTCCTTTGTTTCAAGTCGGTTTACGGCATTTGCAATTTGACTGACTTGGCTTTCCAAATTCTGAATGCTGCATTTGGTCTCATACTGAAATCGAACCATGTTTTGTTGCATGGTTGAGACATTTGAGGTGAGTGCTCGGATCATGTCTTCGGTGGACATACTTGAGCTTGACGTTTGGCCTTGGTGATTTGGGAAAGTTGGTTGCAAGGGCTGACTTTGAGGGTTCCCATATCTCAAATTCGGGTGATCTCTCCACCCAGGATTGTAGGAGTTAGAGTGTGGATCATACCTCTTTTGCCCTTGAAATCCCAAAGCATTGACTTGCTCGGAATTCTCTTCTTGTAGTGTTGGGCAAGAATCGGTGGGATGCCCTGTGTTGAGCATATGCCGCAGACCTTGAATTCTTGGTGTTTTGGATTTAAAAGGAAATCCTTTACCAAAGAAGTCAAGCCGGCCACTTGACTTTCCAACGAGATGTTGGATTCCGCTGCCATGACTCGTTTTGATGACCGCCGATCATAGTGCCTACAATTCTCGGCCAACTCCGAGATAAGGTTTATAGCTTGAGAAGGGGTCTTGTTGACAATCCCTCCTACACATGCGGCGTTTATCATCCGCCTATCTTCATTGCAAAGACCATCATAGAAGTATAAGATGAGGTCTTGCTCCGAATAGCCATGATATGGGCAGCTTGCACATAGTTTCTTGAATCGTTCCCAATATTCGTAGAATGATTCATCATCCTTCTGCTCCACGTTGCTAATTTGTTTTTTTAGAGAGGAGGAGACAGAGGCAGGGTAATACCTTTCCAGGAACGCTTTCTTCATGGCCGCCCATGTACCTATACTTCCTGAAGGAAGATAGAATAGCCAATCCTTTGCGGTATCCTTCAGAGAAAACGGAAACGCCCGCAGTTTGATCTGTTCTTCTGTCACACCGTTTGGACACATGCTTGTGCAAACGACGTGAAACTCCGATAGGTGTTTGTTCGGGTCCTCTCCCCTTAGGCCATGGAAGGATGGCAGCAGATGAATGAGCCCAGATTTTAGCTCCAACGTATTACCCTCATCAAGTGTAGGGAAGGTAATACACAGTGGTTGTTGGTTGAGGTTTGGAGCGGTGAGCTCCCTCAGCGTTCTTGTTTCAAGAGCCATAGTGGTTGGCGCTTCGGTGTCGCTAGAACTAGAGCTAGCGGTGTATGAGTCTCTGGTAGATGATTCTTCCGAGTCGGTATTAGAAAATTTACTTTTCAACCGCTCGAAAGTTTGTTCTATTTCTGGGTTTTTGTGATATGTGATTTCGTTTATGGAACGATGTTTAACTATAAACTCCACTAAGCTCAGAAAATAGAAAAATAAACACTCTTTATATTTTTTTTTAATATATTTTTTTGATTTTCTTGAGATAAAATAAAAAGAAAAAATAATTGCCTTTCCCCGACAACGGCGCCAAATTTGACGTGCACTTGTCGTGAGGTGCACTCAAAATAATTACAATACAACACTAATACGTAGTATAGTGAAGTAAGGTTCGTATCCACAGGGAAAGGAATACTTTTCTTCTATATAAGTAGTAACAAGGGGGGTTTAGATTTGTTTGATTTAAAAACACTAAGATGAACAACCTATATGAGTTTAATTTAATGAGATGAGGACTTGGTTTTGATTTTATCCACTTAATGAAATGTTCGTCGATCCCGGTTATATCTTTAACTATCTTCCTCTCGAATACTCAATCGAGGAGTATATCCAGTTCATCGAGGGTAGTTATTAATAAAGAGATGCGTTCATTAATAAAACTTACTATCGAGTCAATATAGAACAAGCATCGTATATTAACTTGATAGTAGCAATAAACTTAAGATGAAAACGATTGAGATTGATAACCTCAACACAAGCAGTTTATTGGTTTAATCAATATAATTAATTCCCCTTGGCATATTAACCATGAGATGCATGCATTAATATTCCAAGTTTACTACCGTTGAAAGAACCGGATTAATAACAAGCGTATTAACCGATCAATTCTAGTAATAATTAATATGAGAAACAATACTAGTTGATACTTTAAGTAATGTTTAAAATATTAACATGAAATATGAATAGGAATTAATTAATACTCAAGGAAGAATATTAAAGAATATGAATCCTACTATGATTAATATCAAGATGTTAACTAATTGTCATCTTAGTAACACTCCCCAATATTAACATATAGAAAGAAATAGCTATTACTATAACCAATGTCAAGATGTTAACTAATTGTCATCTTAGTAACACTTCCCAACTTTGATATAGAAATAGTATTTTAAAGGAAGAATTAATATTCAAGGAAGAAGATTAAAGAAAATAACTCACAACTTACAAATTCATTAAGCTTCAAAGTAGCAAAACCAATATGGAAGAGTTTAGCTCCTCATTTGGAGACTAAACAGGATGAAAAATATAAAGAAAGAACTATTCTATACTGAGCTTAGATGTACAAAGGAATTGGATATCTTTTTGTGAAGGAAAGGAGGTGTATTTATAGGCTTTTGGGATGGGATTCGGGTACTCGATCGGGTATATACATGGTTCCCGATCGAGTATGCGTGTAATACTCGATTCGAGGTATACTCGATCGGTTTCAGGCTATTTTCCACAGGTATACCCGATCGGGTATATGTTTATACCCGGTCGAGTATGCTTAGAAAGTGGTATTCGGACCATTCTCGATCGATCTTCGTTTAAAACTCAAAGGCATACCCGATCGGGTATGTCGGTCTACCCGATCGGGTATAGACCTTAAATCGTGGCCGAAATCCTCCCGGCATGTTCCCTTGTCTTCGGATCTGATCCGATTTGAAGTTTCAACCTAATACCCGATCGAGTATAGTTAATACTCGACCGAGTATAGACCCAAATTCAGGATCCTTCTTTTGTCTTGAAATTATGCACCTTCTTTCCACTTTTTTGGGTTCACCAACTGTACTTTGAGTGATCAGGACCTGTTTGAGCTCAGAATATATCTAATCTAAACTATTTACAAGAATTTAACAAACTAATCTATTACACCAAAAGTGTGTAATTTCCATAGTAAAGATCAAGCAAAACTAATTAAAAACACAAACATGCATATGGAAATTACAAACGTATCAATAGGTCCGAATTTTCTCTTCTGCCCGAGAATAAATTCTTTTGGGCTTGTGACTTGGTCTATAAAATGGTAGATCTCAGATGCAAGCTCTGTTTTGAAATCAATCCTTTTTAGCGAGGAATTGTGAATTTCAAAGATGACCAAAGATGAAAGTAATTCCAATGATTTATATCCAATCAATTATCAAAACATCTCAAGGGTTTCTCCCATCATGCAAGTCTCTTTGTTTGTTCACATTTATATATATCCATTTATCACTTCAAATGGTTATATATCAATGACACAATCGTCACATGCATTTACACAATTTAAATCCACCAAAATCATATTTTGATTACTTAGGTAATCTCAAGCTCACCCCAGGTCACTGATTATAAACAATACAGGTAGTCGATCATCCCCACCTTAAATATGTCCACTATCGAAGCCCCGTGGTAAAACCCCGATCAAGGATGATCCAAAATGATGCTCTTGGGCAGTGAGCAAAGGCCGAGCGGCTTACGGGCCCATGGAATACGCAACAGCCTCCCTTCAATGATGATTTCTGGCAATTTCTCCCCCCCCCCCCCCCCCCCGCCTCTCTCCATACGAGCCACTCAAACAAATGAGAGAAGGATATGAAATCCTCCCTTATCTTCTATTTTTGAAAAGTTGGGTCAATAATATTTTTGGGTTGTCCACTTAATTAATTAGTTCGGCCCAACTGCTCATACTTGTCCCTTGCCATTATTTTAGGCCCTATTTTTATGAATCCCCTTCAAATTAGAGGAGACAATATACCCCTCATATTTTAGGCTAGTAGACCTTAATAGGTTTATCCAAAAGTATATTTGGTAGTCCTCCCCAATATTCTGGGTAGAATTCCTTTATATTGTTATTATTATTAAGTGAGCTCTCATGGTCTCTTGTATTGTTCTTTTCCTTTTATTCGGTCCATTCATTCGTATATAATTAATTATTTCTTTTAATTGGGATTCTTAAGTAATTTAACATGGACCAATACCAAAAGTATTAGTTAGTCCCTCCAATATTTAGGGTCCGACACACAATATAATTAACCACCATTAATTTAGTCAATTAATCATTTCCCATATGATTAATATACTAGTAACTAGTTCTCAAAATGAATACGGAGTATTATATTCATGAACTCTACTAATCGCTCTCGTAATAATTAGTATTAATAGTTTTTAATTGACTTTTAGTACTAATAGATTAATAATCCAAACTCAAATTGAAAACTGTGTTAAAACAATTTCAAAATACATAATAATACTATATGTATATTGTTACTTTTTATTACTAAATTAAATGTGTAACATATTTACATACTGCATTCGTCCCAAAATGTGTAACTAGAAAATCTGTCTTTTGGGCCTATATATCATGCCTTTGATGATCAACTATTACCCTTAATAAATGTTCGTTCATCATTATTACGGATAGCAAAAGAAATACGTAGTATATAATTAATTTCTCTATATGATTTGGTGCATCATATACTATATCTTTTAGAAGCCGGGTTTGGTAATTAATAAGCGAAGTAACAGTTTTATTGCTTTGCATGTTCTAGTTGGAGTTGATGCAACAACAGCTGGAAAATCTCAGGAGGACGGTGAAATTGCTACTTAAATTGAACATATTTCTGTTGATTATTGAACGATGTTACTACTTATATTAACCTGTTGTTGATGATTCAATATAGTTTTTCTATTGAATCTCATTTCTTAATCTTCAACATTTTAATTGCCTATTTTGAATCTTTTGTATTGTTCTTTATCATAGGAGAAAATGGTGGAGAAGCAGAATGAAGATATGTGCACTTGGGTGAGTATTGTTTTTCATTCATCAAGGAAAGAGTCATGTGACCTATAAATGAGAGTTTTCATAGAGCTATAATCCAAATGTTTTCAGTTAAATTGTGATTAGAAATTGAAACAAGTCTGAATGAAAATATTCATCTGAACTTTCAAAAATATGGATATTTAACACTTTATCTATCACTCAGGTAATAATTGTTATTATATATACAATTCGAATAAGGTAACATAATAATATACTCTGTTGTGAAATAGAGTTTTTGTCACTTTTAGTTCTTTGACTATTATGTCACTGACACTTATAGTACTCGACTTTGAGTTTTTCCACTTTTATTAGTCCTTCGACTATTGTGCGTCAGACACTTTTGGTACCCGTCTTTGAAAATTTCCACATTTAGTCTTTTGACTTTCATAAAAGTGACATTTTGGTCCTTCAACTATTATAATAGTGACATTTTTAATCCTCCACACATTGTAAGAAATTTATAATGGAAGGACTAAAAGTGTCAATTTTACAATAAACAGGGAACTAAATGTGGAAAATATTGAATTCGATGACTAAAAGTGTCTCTCACACAATAGTCGAGGATTAAAAATGGAAAATTTGAAAGTCGAGTACTAAAAGTGTCACTGACCGAATAGTCGATGGACTAAAAATGGAAAAAACTCTTGTGAAAAAAAAATATATAAATCTAAACTATTAAAATGTGATGTTCGATTTGATAATAATACACCATTACAATTCATCCCAAAAATAATAGGCTAAAGGGTCAAATAGGTACATGAACTAACTTAAAGTGTTCAATTAGCCCCTTATATAGAAGGTTCTGCCCGAACGTCGCCAATTGGGGCGGTTCCCGGTAAAAAAATTTGATTAAATTTTTTGAGCATCTTCTTCATTAAGTCTAGTTTACCCATATCAAATTTCAGCTAAAAATTAAACCGGGAAGGCAGTCAAATGATTTTCCGAAATGTACTGCGCTGTTTAACTGCACAGTTATCTTCAAAAAATCATTTGACTACCTTCCGAGTTGAATTTTTAGCTGAAATTTAGTATGAGTAAACTAGATTTAATAAAGAAGATGCTCAAAAAATTTCATCAAAAAATTTCACCGGAACTTCCCCAATTGGCGATGGCCGGGCAGAACCTCCTATATAAGGGGCTAATTGAACACTTCAAGTTAGTTCATGTGCCTATTGACCTTTTAGCCAAAATAATAAAGTGATACATTTGACCAAACACAGTGTCTAAAGTAGATACACCATTCATTTTGTGTAATTTTCAGTAGTGAAAAATGACACAATTTTAGATACTAGCAAAAGGTTGATTTTATTATATGATTTCCTTAATTAATTAAGCTATTTGAAAATGAAAATAGTTGATGAACAATGAGATATACCGCCGTCAGCAAGAAGCAATGACTGAACTCAAACTTGTGGAAGAGCAGCAGCCACCACCACCTGGGGTGGTGGATGAGTTTCCTTTCCTCTTCCAGGAGATGCCACCGCCGCCTACCGGCGGCTTTCTCAGCCTTCTTCCTTGTCACTCCAACCACCGCGATTCAGACCTCCCAGGATGCAGCTATAAATAATGGTTATGATAAAGGTATACACATGTCACAACCTCTTGTACTTTAATTCTGATTGCTTGAGAGATACAAGGGAGGTATAGCACCATTTTCCTAGGCTCTATGCTTTAGTCGGAGCTTTAAAATCAGTACCTCCTCCTCACCGGATTTTGCACTCTTTTAATTAGGCGAGAAATAAGAATAGTAAGAATTGTGAGATAGAAGTTTGAGCGGAGAGGCGGAGAAACAAACAAGCAGAATCGCAAAATAGTTACTTTAACGGGAAAATGTTTCTTGGAACAATAAAAAATGGAAAGTTGACAGAGTAAAATAGCACGGAGGGAGTAAAATATCTCTTCTTATCTGAATGGTTATGTGTTTTTAGTAAGTTTTTCTCCACAATATCTAAAATAGTGTTTGGATATAGAAATTGTGATTGATATTATTGAGAAAAAAGTTATCAAAATTATACGTGGTACTCATATAAAACCGTGGAAATAAAGAGATTGAAATGTCATTCATTTATTTTTATGTGTCTATTTCTCTTATATTACATGTGTACCGTGAATATTGTTGAATTACCATTGCTCTTAGATAATGGGGAAAAAGGAGCAAATAAGCCCACGTACTAACAAAAAAGTCAAATAAGCTCTTATATAGGAGACTATATCCGGCCGTCGTCATTTGGGGCGGTTCTCGATGGAAATTGTTGATGCAATTTTTTGAACATATTATTCATTAAGTCTTGTTTACTCATACCAAATTTCAGCTAGAACTTTAATCGGGAAGACATTCAAATGAATTCTTGAAGATAACTGCGCAGTTAAAAACGCAGTTATCTTCAAGAATTTATTTGAATGCCTTCCCGATTGAAATGTTAGCTGAAATTTGGTATGAGTAAACTAGACTTAATGAATAAGATTATCAAAAAAATATTCATCAAAAAATTCCACCGGAAACTGCCCCAAATGGCGATGGTCGGACAGAACCTCCTATATAAGGGTTTATTTGACATTTTTTTTGTTAGTACGTGAGCTTATTTGACCTTTTTTCCTAGATAATGATATCATAATTATCCTCGGTCGACTCAAATTTTAAATTTGTAATTCATTGTTTCGTTTTATAAATTTTACTATCCTCCGTTCCATAAAAGTTTCAACAGTTTGACTTTCACGTTTGCCAACGCGCAACTTTGACTGTAATTATATTTATTTACGTATTATTAAACATTAAAAAAAGTTAATATATTGGAAATTTACATTAATACAAATTTATTAATATTTTATACATATTATTTTATATATATATATTATTAGAAAATCGTAGTCAAAGTAAGGTGTGTGAATAGTGCAAAAATCTCAATGTTGCAACTTTTATGGAACGGGGGAGTACTAAATATGTAAAAGTAACATGCATTTTGGATACAAATTATCGAATCAAATACTAGCTCCGTATTACTTAATTACTTCCCATATATGTTTCCAGATGCACTAAAGAATACAGGATCTAATATACGTAGTAAATGTTCATTTTAACGTCAGAGTTCACAAGTATGTGTATTTTTAATTTTATGACTCCGGTCACAGTTTATTGGTGTTATTGTTCCTATATTTCAAATTGAATTCTTTGTAATCGTTATTAAATGTTTTAATTTTGTCAGATAGAATTGAATGTGGGCGGGCGATGGAGCTTTTAATATTAGCTAATGTGCAGTGACAAGCGACTTCCAGTGTTGGATACTGAGTAATGGCGTGCTAAAAACTAATTATAACATTAATTTATCATGACTTTATTATTATGCATTTTAATTTACGGATAGCTAATTTAGTACAGATTATATATAACTATACTCAATATGCGTAGGATTATGACAAACCAAACTAATTAAACATGTTGGGCCGGGCAACAACTGATCTTGGACCTCAGGTTCACTGGGCGTCTTATTACCTACTACAATGCTTTGTTATTGTATGACATTTTAAATACGCCATCAAATATTCAAATATGTATTTAGGATGTTTTTACTTGGACTGTAATTTGCTGGTCTGATCTGGTCTGATCTAGTCTGGTCTGGTCTGAACTGGTCTGGTCTGGTCTGGTTTCTTTGTATTTATATAACTATCTGATGGATAGTCTACCCGGTGGTATATATCCGAAGGGTTATTACGGGGAATAACTTAGAGAGAAGTCGGAGCGAACAAGTAAGAGAGAGAGTGTATATTCGATATGTATTCAGCGTCGTTACAAATGGGGAAATGGGGTGCTATTTATAGTAGCAATAAATGCCGGGCAGGGACACGTGTCAAGCGCTCATTGGCTGAGGGGTCACCTCGACTGGTTGGCGCTGGCAGCCGCATGTGGCCGCATTTAATGCGGCTGTTGGATGGGACGTCTGTGCAGAGTACGGTGATCTGTACGCATGTGAAGCGGATATCTTGTCGAGTGAGATGCCTTCGGCTATAGAGCAGTAGCCGAGGGCTCTCCCTCCCGATGGCACCCCTGGTGCCGAGGGCTTACAGTGCCGAGGGCTGCTGTTTTCGCCGTTTTCTCCCAGTTTCTTAGTTTGCTTGAGAAACCCGCTCTGTGATAATTTGGAGCCTTCGGCCAGGGGGCCGAAGGCACCCCTGTGCGTTGTGCGGACTGCTTGGTACTCTGGGCGCTGTGATTTGGGCCTGTTGGGCCTGTTGGGCCTTTGCTGGAGTAGTAGGAGTCTGTGGGCCGGGGGTTCCCGGGCCATATACTCCATCAGGAGTCCCTCACTCCTTTTGCCGAAAGGTACTTGAGGGAAAAGGAGTAATTTGTGCTTGCCCTTTGATGTTGTCCTGTCGTGATCTCTGAAGTTGGTGAGGAGTTGTTGCTCTTATGTCCCTGCCGAAGGTAGTCCCTCAGTTACCCACATGTCGAGACTTGAGGGCTTGCTTTGTTGTTTCTTGGATTTTCACAGATTTTGTAATTTAATGATTTTCCCGAGGGGGTCCTCCAGTCCCCCACTCCTTGAGGCACTTGTAAAGTGGTGAAAAGGAGTAAAGTAGTTACGTTGCTGTTGTGGGCCGAAGGCTGACGCTTTTCGTTTCATTTTGGGGGGATGCCTCGTTAAAAACCTCATTAGGAAAAACCCTTTGGGAAAAAATCCTAACGAGGGAAAAAGAGTGCACCGAATTCCCCCAATGATGAATCGAAAATGTCAAACCTTGGTACAAAATGGAGAATGGCGGGAATGCCGAGGGCTCGCTGTTGATGTCCTGGTGGCGCCGAAGGGGAGCCCCTCACTCCAGAGATCGAGGGCCTGCCAGATGGGGGCAGCAGTGAAGTGTTTACCGGGGGGTCCACTGTTTGTTGATTTGTTGGTGATGAAGATACCCGAGGGCTCCCCATCCGTCAATGAGGAAACTCCCCGGGGGCTACCCAGTTTTGCAGTGCTGAGGGGGAATCCCCGAGGGGGTGTCCTGATATGAAGCCCTGGGTTTCTGAAGGAGTGATCCCGAAGGCGTCTGTTATGTGCTGTGTGGGGCGCAACCCGGGGGCACTTCTGAGTGATTGTACCCGGAGGCTATCTTTGATGAAGTGGAGTGAAGTAGAAAACCCGGGGGCTTCCAGAATATAGCCGTTGGAAATACAGCCGTTGGAATACGTAACGACAGGATATAGCCGTTGGGGGGATGGCACACGTGGCGTGTGATGGCTGGTTGTTCGTGGGCGGCGTCACCGGTTGGGTGAAACGACGGCGCGTAATGATGGCGTCCATCCGGAGGCCCGGAACCCAGGCCCAAGCCCGGATTCCAGCGCCTATAAATACCCCAAGGCCAGGCATTCCTCCGTGTGCGATAAACTTGTTAGCGAAGCTCTGTCAATTTTTCTAGAGAGAGAAAGTTCAGCCTTCGGTCCAAAACTCAGCTTTCGAGGTCAGTGCTCCCTGCCTTTCTCCTTCTAGCATAGATGTACTGTGCCCTTAGTTTACGAGATAGAAAAGTTAGGAAACACTACCGTCTACGAGCCCTCGAACAAGAAAGCGAATGTCGTCCCAGAGTGACTCTCAGGACATCTCGAGGACGCCCTCGATGGAGGACGAAGGCATCTCCGATGTGGAGTCAAGCAGTGATCAGCCCTCGGATTGTGGTGATGCAGCCCTCGCCACTGAGGTGCAGAAAGATCTGACGGCTGAGGCCGAGGCGGAGGAATTCGAGCGAACTGCCGAGGATGAAGAGTTGGCCCTCGCCGTCCAAGTTGCTGAAGAGGAGGAGGAGAAAGAGAGGGCGAAGGTCACTGTGGCCGTCCTTCCCCCTCGGGGTGCTGGTGAGGCCAGTACTTCCCAGCCGCTGAACGCGGTTCCCATCCGGGTGGCCCCCGGGAAGAAGAAGGCCAAGGCGGCTGTCCCTAAGAAGAAGGTCATAGCTGCTGATCAGGGGAAACCCGTAGATATGCCGGAGGGGTATTCCTGGCTCAACACGGCTGCCCTGGAAATAAAGTCGAAGGCGGACAGGGCGGACCTCTACGTGACGCAGCTACATGTAGGGCCCTCGGCCGAGGTGGTCGAGCCGGGAGTTGACGATGTGCTCTCTCGGGCGCCCGAAGGGTGCATTGCAGTACACGTGCTGTCGGTATCCATGGGCCTTCGGTTCCCGCTGCACCCCTTCCTCCGGGAGTACCTGAGGTTCGTCGGCTTGGTGCCCTGCCAGCTGACACCTAATAGCCATTCCTACGTGGCGGGTTTCCTAAACCTCTGTAGGGACCGAGGGGTGACCCCCAGCCTGGACTTGTTCTTCCAGAGCTTCAACCTCTGTCGAGGGGGTCACGCGAATGCGGAGGGCTTCGCCAACCTGCAGCAGGTGGCCAGGTGGAAGCTGTTTACGGAGGCGCCTTCGTCAAACAAGGGCTGGAAGGAGCGCTGGTGCTATGTCAGGGTTACTGAGAACCCATTCCCGGCGGAACTTCGGGATCGCTTCCGTCGGCATCCGAAGGTTGGAAGCGCCGCCCTCGAAAAAGACGGCCTGGTGATAGCAAAAATCCCGGAGGGTCACACCAAGCAGGCCTCCATTAAAGACTATACTGCCGACAAGGGATTCTACGCCCTCGGCTTTCGCAGATACCGGTTTATCGGTGAAGCGGATGAGAAGTACCCCCGTTTTTGCTGAGGCCTTCGGGGGAACAGGAGGTAGTCTACGAGGTCCCTTAGCACATAGCTTATCCTGTTCGTTTTTTTTTTGTTTTTTATTTTGTTCTTTGTGCCTTCGGTCAGCGTCCCCTCGATTCTAACCCCATTCCTTTGTTTCTTCGCAGGTGTCCCAGTGAAAATGATGAATGTTAGAGGCCTTGCAGACTTGAAGAAGAAGAAACCCTCCAAGGGCCCGAGGGGGACGGACGCCGGTGTCCCAAAACCCGCCGGTGACTTCTTCAAAAAACCGGAAGGGCCGTCGGCGGGCCCAAGCGCTGATGCTGCTGCTGCCGCCAAAAGGAAGGGCTCGGGCAGAGATCCCGAGGGCAAGAAGCCCAAGACCGGGGATGCCGGGAAGAAATCCCCCCCGGTGATCATTGTTGATGAAGGCCCTGCCCCCGGGCCAGATGAGGACATGCAGGTGGCGAAGGTGCCGTCGGGAGTTCAGGGGCCATCTTCCGAGGTCCTCATGGTTTCCCTCCCGGCTGGTACGGCCGTGATGAATGGTACCGCCGACCCGAGGGTGCTTCTGAGAGGCATCACCCTCGAGATTGACAGGGTTGCCCTCGGGGCTGATGAAGACGAAGCCCTCGAGGACAGGATCCTCCGGTCCTCCCTTACAGTAAGTCTTCCACGCCTATTTCTTTCCGTTTTACTTGGAGCTTAGAAACCATATTTGGCCTTGCTAACCCCTTTGTTTTTGTAGACCTGCATTGCCCTCGGGGAGCAAGCCCGGCGGCTAGAGGAGTGGCGCCTTCGCAAGGCCGAACAGGAGGCCAAGATGCGGGAGCTCATCCGCCAGAATGCAGACGCTGTGCGGCAGATGGCCATGCAGGAGGAGAGCCTTCGGCAGATGACCCTGCGAGCGGAGGCCGCGGATCGGGGTAGGGCAGAAGCCGAGAGGTCCGCAGCTGAGGCCTTGGAGAAGGCTGCCAAGGAAGCCGAGGCCGCGAAGGTTGAAGCCGTCGAGAGAGCTCGGGAGGACGCAATCTCGGGGTTCTTGGCAGGGGGATGGCGGTCCGAGGAGCACAAGCAATGGCTGTCCTCAGTCGTCGAGTCCTCGGTCGACGAGTGGTGCGATGGGCCTGGCGTGGAGTGGGTTTCCCGAAAGGGTAAACAATACTACGATGGGGGCGAGTTCTTCACTCAAGCCCTCATCTATCGGAGGATGGCTCGCCACTTGAAGATCGAGCCAAAGGACTTTGACCCGGCAGCATACGGGCTCCCCCCTGCAGCCAGACATCCGCGTTCCTCTTCCCCCCGATGTCGAGAGGCCAGACCTAGAGGACTCTGAGCTCATGAAGGAAGCCGAGGGCGACGAACCTGAGGCCGACGCAGAAGTGACCTCGAAGCCATCGGGGGAGGCGGCCCCCGGGCGTAACATGATTTGATATGTACTTTTTATCACGTAAACATACATTTGTAATGATGACATTATTTATCCCTCGGCTTCGGCCTGCTTGTAATCTCACACTTGCTCCTGTTTTTGATGAAATGCATGCTGCCTCCGGGCTTTTTATATTCGAATGCGCCTTATGTTTTGAATGTATGCCTTCTCCTTTGAATGTATGCCTTCGGTATTTTTGAACGTATGTCTAGGACTTAGAATACTATCTGTTTGTAGCTAGTCCTTAGGAGCCTTCGGTAGCTGGGCACCCTCTGCTGGACATGCAACCGATGGTTCGGCAGCAATTAGGACTTAGAAAATTTTTTCTAAGTGTAGCACAGCATGAGGCCTTCGGGCGTTTGTAGTAACCCACATCGTAGGACTTAGAAAAATCTCTAAGTGTAGATTTTCCCTTGTGGAGCCTTCGGGTGTCTGAAGTAACCCAACCCCTAGGA